ACTCTGTGTGCTGTTCATGACTGGATGTGCCAACCTTGCCACCCTTTAAGAAAGATCTCATTTCATCCGGGCTGGACCCCAGCCCAGGGCAAAAGTGGGGTGGGGGCTTCTGTAGCCCCCAGATCACTGCCTTCCTCTGAGGAAAGGCCTGATGTTCCTGGAACATCCTGCCCACCCCGGCCCAGGGAAGTCAGATATCAGCTCAGCTTCCCTCTCCACCCCACACCCCTGGATAAACCACGTGGACTCTGGCCCAGTGTTTAGGCCACAAAAAAAGTGGGCTCAAGCCAGATTGGGGGGTGATACCTGGGGCTGTGCAAGGGCCTTTCCAGCCAGAGATGGGACTGGAAAATTTCCAGCCAGGCTGTGTATGAGGCCAGAGTGTATGGGGAGAGGCCTGTGACCAAGCTGCTGACACCAGAGCAGAGGCAGCTAGATTTGGGCAAGCCCTGGGTCTGTTCATTCATTCATCAGCTGTTGCCTCCCCAGTGCCCGGCACAGGGCCTGGCACAGCACATCCATGTGTTCACTGATCCATCCTGGGGTGACATGTATCTTCCCACCCCAGGGCCCTTGCTCTTGCGGTTCCCTTCACCGGGAACTGTCCACTCTGCCAGGTTCTGGGCACAGAAGCCCCTCCGCACATTTGGAGTTACCTCCTCAGAAAGGCCCTCCCTGCCCATTGCTGCCTTCCCATCCCGTGCTCTTACTGGGGTATTTCAGATACGTGCTTCCTGCTTTGAAATGACATTGCGAATTCACTTTGTCTCTTCTATTCCAATGTTAGCTCAAAAGACAGGGACTTTTGGTTTGTTTTGTTCTCTGCTGTGACTCCAGTACAGAGATCAGCACATAGAAAATGTTCAATAAATGTTTGTTGAATAAATGAATGAACGAACAAATCAGTGGATGAAAGTTCCACTGGGAAAGCTCGGGGATAAGGTTTGGCTCCTAACCCAGATGTAGGAGGTGACCTGTAAACTGAGGCCTGAAGGAGGAGGATAGGGTGGGCAGGCGAAGAAAGGAGGGGACGTGGTTTTTTCTCAAAATGCCTTTCTCCAAGGGAGAGTTAAAAGGTAGCTTGGAGGTAGTAACTGGTGATTAAAATTTAAAAAGCCTTTAATCCATTGACACCATAAAAATTGAGATATTTTACTAAATCTTTTTTTTGCGGTACACGGGCCTCTCACTGTTGTGGCCTCTCCCGTTGTGGAGCACAGGCTCCGGACGTGCAGGCCCAGCGGCCATGGCTCACGGGCCCAGCCGCTCCGCGGCACGTGGGATCCTCCCGGACCGAGGCACGAACCCGCATCCCCTGCATGGGTAGGCGGACTCTCAACTACTGTGCCACCAGGGAAGCCCAAGATATTTTACTAAATCTTGATGTCTGGCTTTTCTCTCAAAAAACTGAAAGATGTGGCCAACCTGAGCCCTCCTTCCTGAGGCAAAAAGTTCAGTTTCCCAGTTTGTAGCAGCCCTCATCAGGCCCCTGAAGCATTTGTTGGCGACCCCTGAAGCCAGAGACCGCCTTGGCATCGCTGCAGGACCCCACCATGAACACCCAGGCTGGGCGCCATTGGCGACGGCCTTCTGGACCGTAGCTCAGCCCGGGTAAACTGTGGCTGGTAACGCGGGTACACTGGGTCCTCCAGGTAGGTATGGGGTTGGGCGGTGGTTGTGCATCCCCTCCCCGGGTCTCTTGCAGGCTCCCCCTGCGCCAAATGCACACACCCAGACGCCTGAGCGCCAGCTCAGAAGTGGTGCCTCCATACCCAGAGCTCACATCTGTTCCCTCTTCCACTCCAGCCCTGCCCAACCCCTCCAAGCCGGCGCATTAGTCTGCAGCGCGCGAGCGCCCTCTGCTAGCGCAGAGCGGGCGCGCAGACCTGAGCCCAAACCGAGAACCCCGGCGCCGGGAGACCTGGGGAGTTTCACTTCGGTGGAACGGGGTGATTTAACGGTAGCTTAAAGGGTTTGCTGTGTGCCAAGGACTGTGAGAATCTCACTACACGTAAGACCTCATGTAATTATTAGAACAATCCTGCTGGGAGTTCCCTGGCGGTCCAGTGGTTGGGACTCCTTCGTGAGGGGAATTAAGACGCCTCCTGCTGCGGGGCGCGGCCAAAAAAAAAAAAAAATCCTATGAAGTGGATACAGAGAGGCTAAGGAAACTGCTCAGGGCCACACAGCCCGTAGGCGGAGCTGGGGTTGGCGCACTTGACTCCGGGTCATGCGCTGAGATCCCCTGAGTTAGAGAGATTCCGTGAAGATCTCACTTCCGTTCCCTCACTCGTGTCTTCAAACTGCCACGCTCCTTAGCCATTCCACCTGTTTGTCCAGCCCACAGTCCACTCAGTACATGGTGGCCCACCGGGACTCTTCCCTCATCACTGCCGACGGCCTGGAGAGGAAGGCCGAGGCCCCGCTCTGGAGAATAATTCACGTGCTCACTGAACACATTCCGACTTCGTCCCAGGCACTGCCCTCGGCACTGGAGACAGATCCGTGGATAAGCCAGATGAGGCAGCTACCTGCATGACGCCCATTCCAGTGAGGGAAAGAGGAATAACTAACCCAATAAATCAGCTTGTTAGATATTAATAATTGCCAGGAACAAAACACAGGCAGTGAGGACAGAGAGACGGCGTGGCTACTTCAGATGGGGCCCAGCCTCTCTCAGGAGGATACGCGTGACCTGCATTCCAAGTGATGGGAGTCAGCCCCACAGAGCCGAGAGGGAAGACATCCTAGGTGTGGGAAGTGGCCTGTGGGGGATGGGGACAGAGCTGAGAGCCCTGGGAGGTGACGGGGACTTGGGCCAGGAAGATGGTGGTAGACATGAGAACTGGCTCTTGGAAGCAAGAGGTTTCTCAAGTATCAACTTAGTGCACTGGCCAACTTAGTTGGCACATGGTCTGCACTTTTCAAAGCCCTGCTGGGGGCAGTACACATCAGAACACAGAACACACACCAACGTCACCCAGGCAGCTCTGGGTGGTGTCAGGAAGCCACTCTGCTGGCCAGGTGCCTATCTTCAACCCTACTCATCCATGGGACGCTGGAGTGCACAGGCCTCGAGGAGGGACTGAAAACGTCCCCAACTGACCACAGGGAAGGGTTTCTGATCTGAGCTACTGTACCACAGGGTCCTCGGTGGCCGGTGAAGGTGGCCACCCATCAGCTGACCCTGCCAAGCCACACAGAGCCATCTGTGTATGCTTCAAATGACCGTCTGGGCAGCGAGAACTCCTTTATGGAAGGCACCTTTACAGATCAGGAGGGAAAAGTAACAAAGATGAGAGGGAAAAAAGGACTTTTCAACTCAAGAAAAGACAGCCTCACACATAAGAAAATGCACATGAAACTGAAATAGCATGTTCAGCTCAAAGATGGGCTGGCGAAGAAGTATGAGCATAGAGAAAGGGAGAAGTAACCTGTCCTGCATTGTTGGTGGGAGGAGGCAACTTGAAAATGACAAAATTAAAAATGCCCACGTCCTTGGATGGAGAAGTCCACTTCTGGGACTTTGCTCCACTGATGTAGGCGCACATGTGCCCTGAGGCTGGTGAGCAGCAGCAAAACGTCAGAGGCGACCTCAGCGTCACCCGTAAAGCCCTGGTCACTGGGGCTGGCACACTGTGTACTGGGTGCTCAGCAGCTGTTTCAGAACTACAGGGCGGTTCCCTAGATGCTGCTCTGCAGGGGCCTTGAGAGGTTCTGTTAGAGAGAAAAAGGTCTGGAGCAAGAGCAAAGTGGAGGCCACATTCCCAGTTACATTAACAACAACAACAAAATACAGTGGGTGAGGAGAGGGGGAGGGGGGCACGGCTTGCACATGCGTGCTTGATGTCAGAGGGACCCAGATACCCAGGGCTTCACCTTGAGAGGATGGGTCAGAAGCGGCGGGAACTTCATCTTCCATTCTATTCCCTTGTGTTGTTTGAAATACAGTCTAGGTTCATGTAGTCTCTCTTTAGTAAAAATTAAAATGGGGTCTCCAGCTCAGATTTCTCCTCACAGTGTAAGGGGCAGGTTAATTTTTTTAGCAGGGGATGGGATGTGGTCTCTGTCCTTCACTGCCTGGGTGGCTGCCACCCCTGTCCTTATCACAACTGACAAGACACCCTACTTCTCGCCAAACCTAAAATGGACACTTTTACGCCTTAATGTTTCTGGAACTGGGACGTTCCTTACGATCAGTAGCGTCTTGCCCTTGTGATTGGCAGCATTTTTTTTCTTGGTAGTACATAAAATAATGGTGCATCTCACAGCGGACGGCATCTCAGACTCAATGAAATGTGGGTCTGTTTCCCGGGGATCCGGCGGCAGCCCAGTGTTACTTGGCACCTTCCACCTGGGCCACAGGTAGTGCTGCCCACGCTCTGGGGACCCACTGCACGTCCCTGAGCAAAGCTTCCAGGACTGCAGGCCTCCCAGAGGTCAAAGGCCACCAAGATGACAACCCTGGGAGGACAAGATACAGCTGGTGATGGAGCCTTATGTTTGGAGGCCTCAGCTGTGACCTGCAAGCTGCGATGTACTGTTCTACATGGGAATGGAAAAAGTGTATCAGTTTGACACACTAATGTTGGGAGACTTCACATAAAAATCTGTATCAGAAAGATTACACCTAAAATTAATATATTAATAATACTGTAAATCAACTATACTCCAATTAAAAAAAAAAAAGATCCGGCATTCACTCAGCCCACATCCCCAGCACCGAGGAGCACCTTCATCAGACATGTGCCGGAACCCCAAAGATATGGACAGTGCCTTCCTGTTCACGGTGCCAGGCAGCAGCAGCGAGGCTGGCACTAAGTGCAAAGACGTCCCCTCTTCCAAGGCCACCTGCAGCCAACGTGCCAACAGCTCTAAAACACAGCAGCCAACTTTATGTAATCGCCATGAGAAAGCCTTTGAGGTACGCCCAGGTGTCACCCCTATAGCTCAGAGCCATGTGCTGCCCATAGAGCCCACCCCAGTATCTCATTTCTCACGTGGAAAGAAGAGATGCTTTCACATGCTGCCCTTCCTTAGAATGTTCTCCTCTGCTGAAGTCCTTGACACCATGTCCCAAGTCCTTCACGGGGTTCTGTGGATCAGGCAAAGGCAAGGAAAGGGAACGTGACTGAGTGTCCACTTGCCATGGGGGGGAAGGGCAAGAGGACAGGCAGGGACTGGCTGGTAGCCAGACAGAGGAGCAGACACTCTGCAGGGCCCATGCCGTTGACTCAACACAATCCACGTTGCTACATCACAACCGGAGGCAGGGGTGGCACCTCCACTCGAAGGGCCTAAGAACTTTCTCAGCAGAGAAGCAGCTCAAGGGCACTGCCCTCACCACAAGGTCGTGGTCAGAGGTCACGTGGCAGTGGAGACCCCTTGCTGGTTTGCTGTAGGTCAATCAGAAGGGGTGTGCTTCCCCCCAGCATTGTCAGGTCACTGTGAAGACCTCTCCGCTCCGTGCAGTTCTGCACAGTGAAAAGGAACAGTGGAAGTATTTTCTCTCAAGAGCAAAGACCTGGCAGGAGCTGGGGATCGGAGGCCACCTGGCGAAAGAAGTGCTCTCTCTGCACCTCAGACGAGCGCTTCTTCTCTGCCCTAAGTTTAGGCTATAAACTTAAGACCACCTGTGAACGCACCAGCAAAGATAAGGAGCAAATCACACGACATATGTGTGGGACATAACCACAGACCAAAGGTTCAAACGGTTGTCACAGAAGGTTCTGGTTGAGTTCCTGAAGCTCTAGGCCCAGTTCCCTGTAGCCCGCTAAGAGGGTAACAGGTGCAGAGTCTCGGATTTCAGATGGGACTTGTTTCCTCTCTGGAAGTCACTGCACAGAAGAGCTGCCGCCCTGACTCTGCTTTGGGGCTTTCCAGTAGAACTTTGAAATAATTCTAGAATCTCCCGTCTTCTTTCTCCCTTGAGAGAACTGACTGAGGGTGAAGAGCCCACAAATGTCTCCGGCCCGATCCCCTTTCAGGGGAGCCTGAAAGGCAGCAACTCGCTCCAGAGGACAGATTCGTAAGGACCATGTGGCAGAAATTCTAGCAGCACCTTCTGGAGGGTGGCGTGTTAGGAACAACCCGATGCCCTCCATGAAGTCAGGTCCGGCCCCAACGGCCACAAGGGATGACCCGGCTCCTGGCACAGGACACCAAGGTGGTGCCTACTGGTGGCTGGGACCACAGCAGAAGTGCAAATCCTAAGTAAAAACAGCTGCGACATGTTCCCACTCCTCACACAGGAGAGGGTAGACAGACTGTCAATCAGATCAAAACTCTTGTTTCAAACACTAGAAACACATGGGAAAATTCTATTTTCTTTTCCAACCAGAAGACAACTACCTCCAGCCAATAAGTAGGTACTAGTGGAGACTTAGCAGCTAGGGTCCCACAAAGCTACTTATAATTTTTTAAAAATTAATTAATTAATTTACTTATTTTTGGCTGTGTTGGGTCTTCATTTCCATGCAAGGGCTTTCTCTAGTTGTGGCGAGTGGGGGTCACTCTTCATCGTGGTGCGCAGGCCTCTCACTGTCGCGGCCTCTCTTGTTGCGGAGCACAAACTCCAGACGTGCAGGCTCAGTAGTTGTGGCTCACGGGCCTAGTTGCTCCGCGGCATGTGGGATCTTCCCAGACCAGGGCTCGAACCCGTGTCCCCTGCATTGGCAGGGAGATTCTCAACCACTGCGCCACCAGGGAAGCCCCCAACAAAGCTAATTAAATCAAAGGAAAGAGGGGAAACCACAACCCTTTTTTTCACTCAGTCTTTTATGGCAGGGGTTGGCAAACTATGGTCTATGGGCCAAATCTGGCCCACTGCCTGGTTTCGTACGGCCCCTCAAATGAAGAAAGATTTTTATAGATGAACATTTGCAATAGATTTGGTAATAAGGAATACTTTGAATCCCAATTAAATGTTATCCCCTAAAAAAAGCATTTCATTCTTCTTAGTATACTTGTAACATTATAAAAACTGTACTCAATGATGATGTTTTGAATTTCATCCAAAAAATTGTGGAAATTTGTTTTCTCTCTTGTTACATAAATACTCACGTAATTTCTTTGATTTTGCCTCTTGGACGATAAAGCCTAACTATTTGGGAATTCCCTGGCGGTCCAGTGGTTAGGACTCCGCGCTCTCACTGTCGAGGGCCTGGGTTCAGTCCCTGGTCGGGGAACTAAGATCCCACAAGCCGTGCGGCACGGCCAAAGAAAGAAATAAAGATAAAAAGCCTAAATATTTACTGACTTGGGCCCATCATAGGAAACGTTTGCCGACCCCTGCTTTAGGAGGTCAAATTGAATCCCAAAGACATTAAATTCTATTACTGAATAAATTATATGCCAAGAGGAAGAAGAGCACAGCTTCTTAAATATTAACGCACACTTTTTATTATATTAAAATCAGGCAATGGTCTGACAATAAAAAGTCTAGCTATGGAATACTGTTATGTTAAACTTTACTTACAGGATGTTAAATCCTTAGAACTAAGGTTTTCCCCAGAAAAAGATGAATGGAAACATCAATTGCTTTTCAGACTTGATAGCTGCTGCTTCAAAAGGTGGCTTTACACAAACACTAAGTTAAAAAAAAAAAAAAAAAACCTTAGAACACAATGAATTGCTTTTATTTCGGTATGCGTCCAACATCTCAGCATTTAGTGGTCCTGAACAGAAAAGTGGAAAAACGCAGCCATTGGCCAGGAATTCCGGGGATCTGCCGTGCACACCGAGTTCTTTCTTATCCCTGCTGAGGACCGAGAGAAGCAGCAGCACCGAAACCAAAGTGTGCACCGAGTTCATGGTTCTTTTTGTTCCAGTTGTCAGATTCCAAACTAGACTCAAATGGATTGCAAGGATGACCAAATGAGAGCCCTGTTTAAAACTTCTTCAATTTTTAAAAGCTAAAGCAATTACAGGAAAAGAAAATTCATTCAGAGGGATCGTGTGTGCTTACAAGTGTCTTCTGTGGCCTTTCTCCAAGTTTAACCACCAAGGACTTTGAGAGCTGGCAGGTCTGTGACCCTGGTGACTGTTCTGTTCACCTTATCAAAACCTGAGCTAAGTAAACGTATCAGCTGATGATGACAGCAGAGGGTGGCAGGGCTGAGAACCCAATATTCATTCCCCAGGCTGGTGGAGAGTAAGTAAGTGTGGTTCCAAAACTAAATGAGGGAGGTCAGATATGCTTTCCAACCTTACCTGATGGCTTCTGGCCAAAGCAAGGAAGTGTCATGGAAAGTGTTGGGTGGTGATGGTGCAAAAAGGGACTTGAGGAGGAGGAAGGACAAAGCAGCACCCCTCGATTAAGGTGGAGGGAGAAGATATGGGGAAAGCCCTGAATTCCTCACCAAAGGCCAATTTCAGAGGGGAGCCGAGGGGGTTACAATCTATGCTTCGGCCAAGGGTGGTAATGGAGAGCGGGAAGAGGATGGTGGCTTGGAAGGGGGTCAGCATTTAAGACTTAAAGAAAGAAACCAGGGGTGCAGACGAAGCATCCCCCACACCCAGCAGGAGTCCCACAGGCTGTGACCTGAAACCCTTACATCTACTCTAAGAAGCCACCCCAAGCTGGAGGGCTGTTGCAGGGAGGGAGGAGGCAGGGGGAGGGGAAGGGGAGAAGGCAGAGACCCCAGGCCATGTAATCAGCAGCAAGGTGATTGCGTGGTGTGTCTTTTCACAGTTGAGTTAGATGTGCCCCACCGGTTATGATGGGAATCAATTTAAATATACTTTCTTGATCCCAGAAGTTCAACTATGTGGACAGTGGTTACACTTGACAGGATGATTTGTTATAGCACAACTTATATATTTCAAATGGACAAAAAATTAGTATCATTTACAGTATCTTAAGATAAACTGCCTTTGAATGGGAGCTTCCTTTCCAGTACTTTGAGGTCTACAAGACGTATCTAGAAAATTTACTACTGTGGAAAATGAAGACTGCTTAAATCGAATGGGGGGCAGGGGAGGGCCTGTGGTTTTTCTTTTTGATTAATTGCTGTAACACTGTCCTTCAGGAGGCTGAGGGAGTTTCATATTTTCTTTAGACATCATTAGGCGCCGAAGCTCTTGCAGGACAACTTTGATGCTATATGAATTCTGCCATTTTGCTAGCACTGATATGGCTCTTGGGTCCACCTACAGAAAGGCAAACAAAGAACAAAGTACTGTCAGGCTCTCAAACAAAAGAAAAGTTGTATGCTGGAGCTAAGCTACAGCAGAAACGTGAGTAAAATGCATTTTTCAAGTTGAACATGCTGATCACACAGTGGTATCTGACATGCAGAATACCCACAGGATTCCCTCTCTCCAGTTAGTCTGTTTTTCCCTTTTTGTGTCCCAAACCCTCACTGTGTGGGAGAAGGAAATTATGAATAAGTAAAGCCACCTTTAGAGAAATGGCACTCACACTTGGTGAGACTCAACCCAACTGGCTCTGAAACAACGACCTGAGCTGCCCCTGGGCTGGCTGCTGCTACCGCTCAGGGCCTGTCCTCTCTCAACGTTACGCCCGGGTCGTGGACGATGAAGAGGTACAGGGCAGTAGGGAGAGCACAAGCAACGGGTGGCGAGGACCCAGGCTCTGATGACAAGGGCCTTCCTCAGAGTCATACCCTCTCAAGTTAGTGTAGCATTCCCCAAGAAATTTCCCAAAGTGTGAGTTGAGTCCTGGGTTCAGGACTTCAGGTGGAACTCAAAGACAACACTAAACACTGAACACAAGGCTCATCTCATTTCAATTTTCTTTCAAGTCTTCTGAATACCTCAAAACAGAAGGCTTACTATCTCATGCAATGCTAATATGCAGCACCCTTTAATACTTGCTGATCTCCCCTCTGAACAAGAGAGCAGGCCTCAGAGGCTCAAAAACCTTTGGCAAGCAACATACGGAGGAAGAATTTACCAACTTTGCTTTGTTTTTGTAATATTTATCATTGCTGTTACTGCCTTCTTATGACAAATGAGACTGGTTTCCATTTATGGCAATGCAAATGGTGGTAAAAATAAGTTAAAAAAGCAAGACCATTAGAGGAAAAAAATAGTATGTCGTCCCCAAATAAGGCCAATGAGGTAAAAGTGTGACCTTGGGCAAGATCTTTCACCTCGGTTTCCTCACCTCTCTACCTCTTGGGTGTATATCAGGAGGACTGAATGAGCTCTTATCTCAAAGTGACCGGCATAGTGCTGAGAAATACAGGCCAGAGTAAATGCCACGTAAGTTGTAGTTAAACACAATTGGGAAACAGGCCCTCACCCCAAATCTGCACATGTTCATACTGCAATATATTTTATCATCAAATAACCAATTAACATATGGACTCCGGCCCAAAGTGCCCCTGATAATATTAAAGTACAAAGCATTTTTCAGAGAACCCCAGAGAACAAGTAGGGGCAGGAAAAACAACTTACCACTCCATTAGAACTATTAACTCCATTCATATTAATTTTTGTTACAAATCTTACAAAGGGGGGTGCTTCTGGGTATTTAGGTCCACATTCTATTTTAAGGCTGTATATTCGGTTTTCATAAATTGTCTGGAAAAAAAAAGGGTACAGCCATGTCAGGCAATTACAAAGAATTCAAAAAGGTAGAACTTCTGAAACCTCATTTATTCCTGACTGCAGAACTGGTGCATCTGCTTCCATTACACAAAGTCTACTTGTTATTTGATAAGTTAGCAGTAATTAGTCCTTACACTGGTGTATATGAATCCTGGCCTGGGGGGGGAATATAAAGAAGGCGGAACATTTAAGCTAGTTATCACTGAAGTTTCATGCTAGTATTATCAAGCCCAATCAGATGGACTTGTTTTTATGTGAATTTTTCTACACTCTGGGAAATGGTGTGTAAGAGGCATTCTTCATTCTGGGAAGTCACACCAGATGTCTACTCATGCGGGGATCATCAGCCAGTGCATTAAATACCACTATGTACAAAGCACAGAACAGGTAACTCTTGAGAGAACTTCAAAACGAAGCACAAGGTTGGGGTGGGGGAGAGACAGGAGAGTCACTTCCCACTTCGTCACCACTTTGGGGCTGTGCTCTGTGAAAGGGATCTCAGCTGTAGGTGCGATCATCTCTCCCTGCTGTTTTTACGATGACCTGAGAAATTACTGGCATTTAGTATGTGAGGTGGGGAGCCAAGGATGCCAGACCTGCACCGGAAAAAAACAGTCCTTCTCCAAATGCCAACTGTGCCTCTGTTGAGAAACACTGGAAAGGTCCGATCCCCTAAAGCCAATGAACTTTTCCCTTTAACTTCTACCCAGTGAACAGCAGAACGTGCTGATTTTCCCAGGCTGTTCCTTCTGCCTAGAGTGCCATGCCCCCACCTGAACTACTTCACAACCTTCAAGACCCAGTTCAAACATCATATGAAACAGAAGGCTACTTCACAAGTTTTCTGTCTTATATGAAGTTGCATTATCATCATTTGCGTGTCTGAAGACCACACCAGGGGGTGACAGCTCCCCA